TTTTTTTCTTTTTTCAGTTCTTTCTTTTTTCCCTATGAATTCCAGATAAAAAATTTCTGTAATTCCCTTACTGGCTACCCCACATACCAGTCCCAGGGCTGCTCGCAGTATACAGAAATCTGGAATATCAATACTCTGACAGTTCCCAGTCAATTCCCTCCATTAACAAAGCACTCCGAGATATCTTCTGAAGATGGTTTGTTCTTTTGTTCTTGATTGCAGTTTGCAAACTATACTTTTCTCTTAGCAGGCAAGTGTTCACTGGAGACAAGCAATAGTGAAGAGATCAGAATATCTCAATTCCCTTTCTTCAGTGATGACTAAATGTCTAAAAAAAAAAAGAAACAAAAATCTTAGTCTGGCATAATAGCAAAATTGTTAATTGATTTAGTTTTGCTATAAAACTCTACAGCATTTTTTTAACTGATAAGTGCATTGGTAAAAACAATTTATATGCAAACAAAAAGGCTTGATGGGATAAAAGTCTATGGAAGTAATGTAAAGAAAGTGAATAGGGAATGATTTACAGTAAAGGATCCAACCATGAGACCATAAAATAGGTACTTAATTGTTCAGCCTTTTCCTGATAACACATCCTTCTTTGAATTACACACTCAACAGATCTTTAAAAATTATAGAAGCTACCTATAGGATACTGAAATACATTTCTTTTCTTCCTCCCCTGGCTAAAACTAAATTTTTTCTTATGGGAACCAAACTCTTGCTACATCCCCCCACCCCACCCCCCCGGAGAAAAAAGCATTTACGAAAGATCAGAAAGGAATTAACAGAATATTTATTTACTATAAAGAATATTTATAGGTTTGGATAAGTCCTTTCTATTTTTCGTCTCCCTCTTCTGAAGGTAAACGAAGGTGGCGATGAAGAATCTGAAAATTCTATTAAAGAATTCCGTCCTGGTAAACTGAGACTCAGTTTTGAGGAGATAGAAAGACAGAGGAGAGAAGAGGAAAAGAGGAAAGCAGAAGAAGATGCAAGACGACGCATAGAAGAGGAGAAAAGAGCATTTGCTGAAGCAAGGAAGAACATGGTATGGCACTGTTGTTTAGTTTAACTAAGTCTCCAATGAACTAGAAAGCAGCTCTGAGAAAAAGCTTTAAATACAGTTAGGAATGCATGCTTCCACTCCTTCATTAGTTAGTTCACCTCACTACTTATTAGAAGGTAGGGGGTTAAACTAATCAAGTTCATTTACCAAAAGTCATCACAGACCAATTCCTCCTCACAGCAAGCCTAAAAAGGATTTCAGATAATTTAGTCAAAACCAGATACTGTGTCCAGTAGGCATTATTATACTAGATGCAACAAACTTGGAAAGCAAAATACTTTCACAGGAGAGTTTTTTGGGTTTTTTGAGGGGGAAGAGAGCAATTCCTTTTACTTCTCTGAGTTATTTCCCTACCTTTACAGGGTGCCCACCAATCAGCTCTTAGTAGCTAAAGCGTAATTAATGACAAACTAGAACGTTGCTCACTGCAAGTACAAATTTTGTAGTCATCTGTAGCCCCTTGGGAAGGAAAAATGAAGAAGGCTGAACTCAGCTAATTGATGTTTTTATTGTATTTCATTGCTTTTTCAGAGAAACAGAAAAAGTAACTTGTGGCATTTACCATTAGAACAATTTGTGATACGGAACTTCCGTAGACAAATACCGATCTCTCTGAGATGCAACGACTTCTAAAATTTAAGATTATACTGAAGACATATTTCCAGGGACCTAGGACTGACCTACTGACACTACCTGAAAGCAGAGAAAGATGCCTCATTTCAGAGGGTGGCAACAACATTATTTATAAAAATAGCTAAACTTCAAGTTTCAGCAGCCTTTTGGGTATAAGCCAATTACTTATTGGTGGATGTTAGGAAATACAGTATTAAATTACGTGACTACCAACTAAAACTCAGTATTGTTTGTTTCAAAAGGAAGGGCAAGACATGCCATACAGAACTGTGGAACAACCAGCCCATCTGGCAGTGTCTTCCTACATTCCCTTCTGTGGTTTTATTGGGAAAGATCAGCTGCATGTCTAATAAAATTTTCTTCATCGTTCAAAGCAACACTTTTGAGCCAAATTAAAGCTTTGCATGACTGCTAATATTGCTAGCAGTGCTCCCTCTGCCTGAAAATTGGGCCAAAGACAAGACCTCTGAACACTACCCAGAGAAACTACAATGTAAATATATATTTGATATTGTACTGGTAAGCAATTATGGAAAATAGTGTCTGTCCATACCTCCAAAGACAGAAAATATAAGCTAAAGACACTAGGAAAAAAAAAAAAAAAAAAGAGTGCTGCTGGACTTCTGTCATTACAATTTTTATGAAAAGCCAGCAGACAGCTAAAGGAAAGCAAAGAAAGTACATGCTGTCTTCTGCTTTTTCCTGCTTTCTTGAGAATCTTTTTTTTCCCACCTCAGTGTAGCAAGAACCTAAGCTCAAGTGACCAGGCAAAAAAAACCTCACTGATTAAACAGGGTTTAATCCATTAGGTGCAGCACAGAGTCTGTGATTGCACTGTAACAACAGACAGTGAAGATGTTCAGTAATTTAAAAAATTAACTGAAAATGTATTTTCAGCATATACATGTTTAAAAAGTTTCTGTTATTTGGCATCCTGAATACAAACACATTTTCTATTACTTGTAACAGAAAAGAAAAGCCCACGCTTTCCCTATTTTCCACAGCTACACAATGTAGCGGCAATGCAGATGTGCTTTTAAACTTTTTAAGAACATATTAGTCATCTCTTTCAGTGGTAGTAAAACCTCACATTCAATTTTTATTTAAGCACTTAAGTAGTTATTTTTAGAACCTTTTTCATGTTTATTCATCTTAATTTAGGTTTGAAAGCATACACACGCAGTAGTAGTACTATTGTTGCTGGAAAACACAAACGCCACCTCCTTTTGGAAGGATCTCCCTATTTCACATTTACTTGTGCTACATGTATACTTCCACGCTTCCCGCTGCCAACACGATCGCTTTCAGACTGAAGCATTCATCTCTCACCCGTCAGTCTCTTGCCATTAGAGACTGCATAAAGAACCTGTCTTAGCACAACTAAAAAAACCATTCTACTTCGCATCAGTCACTGTTTGCCCACTGAAAACTGGCTGTTTCACAAACTATGGTTATTACAGGACTGTTTCTCACTACCATCTGTTCCCGCTTTGCAGAAAAAAAAAAGTATGGTATCACTTCACAAAATATGGCTAAAATATTTACTGAACTAACCAAACTAACCACCAGGGTTTTGTGCATCACACAATTCAGCTAAATTTTCCCTGTGTTTTTTAACCAGGAATAAGTTGGCTTACTGTCTTTTCATAACTTACTGGTTCAAAAATACAGAGCTGACAGCTGCTCGTGTTTGCTCATATGCACAGCTTTTTAAAGTTTATATATACATGTGTTGGTAAATTTTGAATTAATGCTTCTGCTATTCACTTAGTTCTATATCTTCTTGAAGTGATGAGTACATGAACTAATGCATCACAAGCAAGAGACTTTCACATTTCTGTGCTAATTTAGCTGTGGTTAGCTTCTGAACACTATGTGGCTATGCATTGTTTTCATTAAAGGAAATAGTTTACAGCTTTGTTTTTTGACTCCAGTTCTCCATAACACAGTTTCAACAAATATGCTCATATTATGCAAAACGAATGAAGAATGGAAAGAATGGTGGGGCTGAAGTTCAACCGTAAGCATACTCAGAGGGAAAATCTGAAGGAAATCTATAGTGAATAGCATTATTTGAGTGAGATTGGGCCAAAAAACTATTGAAAGAGCTGTAAGAAACAAAAAGGATGTGGGCAGAGTAGGTCAAGACAGCGGTACAAACTACAATGGCACAAACAGCAGTGAAAGGTCTCAGTTACAATGGCAGTAAGTAGCAATAAAGAGAAAAGGGAGCCCCAAAGAATCTTAAAAAATGTTTATTTTCTGTTTCTTTATAAAGCTAGTCAAAACACTGTCTCAAATTAAAGTTTTGCTCTTTTAATTCTTTCTAGCATTTGACTGACCACTACTGTTGGGAATGCTATGAATGCCTACAACTTAAGGCACACCGGGCTCCACAATGTTTGCCACAAGGCTTTTCAAACATGCCCTGATTAAGTAGTGCCTAAAGCCACATCACCACACAGTTTACATCAGTATCCGACGTCATCTCACGCATTTATCTACAGAATGTTCCTGTTGAGACAATCTCTGTTCATAAGTTATTTTAAAGTCTTCCTGCATTACTCATGTCATGCTACCTGACTATTTCTGTAGCATACAGCTTCATATTTTAATAATACTTTGCTTCACTTCAGTCTGATAAAGTATTTGTTCTTACACCTCTTGCTTTTGGAAATAATAAAAATTGCCTTTCCTACGCTCTGCCACCTTTTTATGAAATAGTCTACAAAATAAACAAACTGCTCAGGAATGGCCATCAAAGCCCAACCCTACTCCGAAGCCTGAGAAGGGACAGGGGAAGGAAGAAACCTTGCTGCGGTACAAACCTTTTGTGGTACAAAGCAATAAACTGACAACGTAACTTAGTATAATCAATTTGTGCACAAGAAGAATTTCTTGTAGAAAATTCTGTTCAGTTATCATTACTGAGAGTACTAATATTGCTCAAGAACAGGAATATAATTCAGTTTGCTTAGAAAAAGATTACCGATATATGTACTTCAGTGTTAAGAGCAATGACATTTAAACACAAGCACTTTGTCTAATGATAATCTGTGAAGTAAACAGGAAAGGTCCCAAAGCTGCATTTAGAGGCCATCCTCTCCAGCATCTTGCAAAAAAGACCGCATTTTAATAAACACCCTCATCTTCAATATAAAAAGCTTAGCATTGTAATAATAAAGAGCTAAAGTCAAATACCCCCCCCCCCCCCAAACACACTCCCTCCTAAAACCTTAGAGGAATTCCCACACTGTCATATTGCATCTTACTGTACAGATGTGGCAAAATACTTGGTTATCTTTATGTACTAGAACTGTCTGAGCAACACTGTGTGATTTCACCACAGGTACCTTCAGGATGTATCACTAATGCTCTGAATTTCCAGCAGGTGCTGGATGATGAATCACCAGAAATGTTTAAAACAGTTTCTCAAGAATCTCTCGTACCTGGTAAACTGGAAATTAATTTTGAGGAGTTGCTGAGACAAAAAATGGAAGAAGAAAAGAGACGCACTGAAGAAGAGCGTAGGCAAAAGTTGGAAATGGAAAAGCAAGAATTTCAACAGTTGAGACAAGAAATGGGAGAGGTTTGTATATCAAAGGATCTGTTAAGCATGCTCTGAATAAAAATCTAATAGCTCATCAGTTAATTACTAAAATCTGTAACATTGTGTATAATAAGATACATATGTTTATCACTAATCTACCAGGAAAATGCTTTTATCCCTTGTCATCCTTAAAGTAAAAACACAATTTCAAATTGGTAGTTTTGTTTTACAGTCACCTCCGAAAATTCTACAGTAGTACTAAAATGATTTTGTAATATTTACAATATTGGGAGAACAGAAACATCTAGTTCCCAAATGAATATACAAAAATGAAAGTAAGAAAAATTCTTGCTTTTCCTCAAGGGAATGCTGTGTTAACTAATTACGAAAGAATTACAGTGGCCTCAACTTACTGCTAATCAGCGTATCAAGGGTTTGAAGACTGTCACAGTTGATTTTAAAAATCACACACAAAATTTGCTTTGCATACCAAATGTCTAAAACATCATGTTCATGAACTTTACACTTCAATTTGATTTCGTTGTGGGTGGCAATTCTTTACTATTCGCTTTTGAATGTTAGAGGACTACATTTATTTATTTACTTTTGTTAAGCAAAGCTAGAGTGAGTAATAAAGGCTATAGATGGCAAATTTTTCAAGTCAATTTTGTATTACATCCTGGAGAAGAAAGGAGAGGCAGGGGCATCCAACTAAAATGCATATACATCTTTACTGTCAGTCAGAGGTCATAAACAGAGAGAGTAAAATAAGTTACAGCTTCAGAAGTGGTTTGACTGCAGGATCCAGAACTGCCATTTCTTTTCCAGCCATGACATCCTGAAATCTCATTTGCTTTTTTAATAAATTAAAAAAAAAAAGTAATAATTTTCTGCTTAACAAACTAGCTGTTATAGGAAATTTTTTCACATCATATTGCAAGTAAGTCAGAGAGGTAAATTATGGATCCAAGATAACTAAGCTGTTTGTATTGCTAGGTGTCTGGTTTTTCCGAGTCTGTGAAGGGTGGTTTGTTGACAGCAATCCTTGAACAAAGGGCACATTCAAGCAAGGTATTTTAAAATCTGTATCTAGTTTAGATGTGATACAAACACAGTAATCCTGAGAATAGTGAGGAAAACAGAAATTAGATGGAAAAGGCCTCTGTGCTGATTTCAAATACCTAAGAGAACTGTTCAAGTGTATTGTATCTGTAGGGAGAACAGGTAGTAAAAATAACTAGTGCATTTTCCACCTTACGCATTCTCTAATTTCTGAACAGCTAGAAGAAGAGTCTGAAACATTTGGGCTAAGCAAAGAATATGAAGAATTAATAAAGCTAAAAAGAAGTGGTTCTATTCAGGCAAAGAACTTAAAAAGCAAGTTTGAAAAGATAGGACAATTGTCACAAGAAGAAATACAGAGGAAGATTGAAGAAGAGCGAGCCAGAAGAAGAGCAATGGATGAAGAAATAAGAGAAAGGGAAGCTGAGAAATTTCAAGAGGTAAGCTCATTCTGTGCATGTTAATGATATACTTAACCAGCACACCAGTGATCCACGAGTGGACAGTGCTGCTGCTTTCATGAAAGTTCACTCTATTTCCAAAATTATTTTCTCCCTTCTTTCCTCTTCCCTCCTTTTGATGCATGAGGAAGTCCTACCTCAGCATCCCTAAACAAAATAGCACCAGCTTCTTATCAGTCATCTGGTCAACCAGAGATCTGGTTTTCTGCTCGAAGTATTCAAATTCAACAACTTAACAACCTGAAACCTGCCAGCCTGAGATTTTGAAACATTCATATTTGAGAATTAATCTATTAATTCATGTTAATCAACTGTTTTTCCTTCTGAACTCTTAATTCATTCTCCACTGTATGAATAAAAAAACCCCCACACCAAAACCAAACAATACCATTTGAAGATCAAGTATTTTTGTCATCTTTACTCATTTCTCAGGGTAGAGCAGAAAAGGATGCCTACTTATCTATGCTTCAGATTGGAACCTCTCACATTTTTTCCGAGGGCAAAGACAAGAAGTGAAGCTATCGGTCTAACCAATAAATCAACACTATTGCTCTGTGACTCAAAACACCAATGTGAGCTTTCATGACATAATCATGTGGCAGTGCAGAAAAACCTAACAGCAGTAAGCCTGATCTGAGCCTCATTCCAAGGTTCCTATCCACAGTGTAGTCAGTCACTTCAGTACCAGCTCCAGGCCTTTTATTTTTGACCTTTTAATTTAATTACTGACACAGTAATTATGTTTCTATGAGATCAACCTGTGTGAGGTGTTGAAGCTACCATGAAAGTCAAGTCACTAACGATGTACCATTGCCACAAGACAGTATGTGACTTCTATATGAAAATAAATCTTTTGCAGTATTTTTCTACCTAACATTTTTCAAATTACTTTTCTAAGTATTTTGCCCTATCCCTGGGATAAACTATTGCAAGACGTGATCTTAAACCCCAACACTAAACAAAGCTCTGACAAAAAGAGGATTGGGTGGCTTTGCTCAGTTAGGAAGAACTACTCCTCTACAAAACTATTTTTATTATCATATACATTTAAAAAGTAGTATGTGACTAAAGTCCTATTTCCCCCCCCCCAAGGATGATGAGGTAGATGTGAGACCAGCCAAGAAATCTGAGGCTCCGTTTACTCATAAAGTAAACATGAAGGCCCGTTTTGAGCAAATGGCAAGAGCCAGGGAAGAAGAAGAACAGAGAAGAATTGAAGAACAGAAATTACTACGTATGCAGTTCGAGCAAAAAGAAATTGATGCGGCATTACAGAAGGTATAAATTACAAAGTACCTTTTCTTCAGTCCTAAGTGTCCTTTAACTTAGCATCTGATTACCACTGATGGCAACACTGCCAGAGGTATAAAAGGAACATTATACTTGTTTTAACAGCTGCTGTGAATTGCTGCAATAATGTAAAATTGCTTTTGGTGTTTTCATGTTCTTGAAGAGTACAAGAGTTTTCCTTCTGCAAAGTTCATTGTATCCTTTGAATAGTATGAAAGTGCAGTCTACATTCATGCCTGTATTTTACCCCAAGATTCCAGCCTCATTAAAATGCATTTTACTGCCTGTTCCATATCCAGCCTCAGACCATTATGTTACCTAGTGAGGATATGCGTGGCATTTCCCCTTCTCAGAAATGTGGTAATTTTTCTGTAATCAAATATGCATTGCGAGCAGTCATACTGCTATTGCTACTTCAAAATGTTCTAAATTGCCTTATTTTAAAACAGAAAAGGGAAGAGGAAGAAGAGGAGGAGGGGAGCATTGTTAATGGTTCTACTTGTGAAGATGAGGAGGATCAAGCTCGATCTGGAGCTCCCTGGTTCAAGAAGTCACTGAAAAACACATCAGTTGTTGATGGCGAGCCAGTGAGATTTACAGTTAAAATCACTGGAGAACCAAAACCTGAAGTTACATGGTGGTTTGAGGGGGAAATGTTGCAGGACTCTGAGGACTATCAATATATTGAAAGAGGAGAAACCTATTGCCTTTACTTGCCAGAAACCTTCCCAGAAGATGAAGGGGAATATATGTGTAAAGCAGTCAACAACAGAGGCACATCTGCTAGCACCTGTATTCTCACCATTGAAAGTAAGAGTTAACATTTTAATTCGCTCAATTCTCAAATAGTCTTCTTGCATCTTTCCTATTACGCAAACCTAATTATCTGTTTCTCTTAACCATTTTATTTTCTAGCTGATGACTACTAATGCTCTACTTTAGCTGGAATCTTTCTTCCCCTCAAAACTTTTCTTACTGCATCATCTCTTTCTCTGATGGGGCCAACTAAAGCAAGCAAGGGTATGCATTGATTTGTCATTCCTGCATCAGATAAGAATAATCTTCAAATTGTGAGTGTCTAGGTTCCTTGCTCAATACAAAAATTAGCATGAAAGGCTAAAAAAGAAGGAATCAATTTATGAAAGATCAACTAAAGGAAAAAGCTGAATTATAATAGTGCTCGCACATTTGAAGACCAACTGTTGTGTAATAGTATAAAGCTAAAGACACAATCTGGAAACTTGTGTAGGAGTGTAAATCTATTGCTGTATTTTGCATGAACACAATATTTAAGCTGTTTTACTTTATCTCAGAGACACTGAACTGGCAAAAAGGAAATACTTACTGATAATTTTCAAAAACCCCAGTGTACTATTTTTAAAGAATAAAAGATTACATAACTGCTCACTTTTGTTGTTTTGTTTCAGAGCATTCGTTCTTTTGTTTTAAAATAGCCTTGCCTTTAAACCGTTATGCTCTTATCAACCTATGCCATTGATAATCCAAAAGTAAAAACAATCTCAGTAAGGCTTATAGTAGTCTTTAGAAGTTTTACAAGCAAATGTTGGTACTATAATTTTTTCATTGCTTAAGTGATACAGGAACAGTTGGTGACAAAATATGAGCCTACCATAGCTGAGTTGGTAGAAAGCAAGCTTTAAGAAAATTATTTTCAGAAAGTGCCTAACTTCTTGATCTTTGTTCTCTCTTAATGCAATAAATTTACTGCTGCATCTCTAAACATTGTCTTCTTAAGGCTACCGTTCTATTTTTCTCTAAGACCTCTTAATAGTAACACTAATGTCATTGTGCTAACACCATCTGAATTGTTCAGCTTAAGCTTCTGTAGGAGTAATTTTACAAATAATAGTCACATTTAAAATTAAAGATCATGTGTATAAGCCTTAACATAAAGACAAGGTAAGCTGCAGCAAATTAGATTAATGCAGTCATTTCAAAAAGTTTTCCTGTGGTTCAATCTGCTGACTGCTCTTTGTACAGTTACCCATTGGAAGTCACTCTTTTGCCTCAATAAAAGTTACAAATTCAGAAACATCTTGAAAAAAAGGGTAATAAGCTGCATGATGTTTTGAATGTTTATCCATCCTAACAGCCATATAAATACATTTTACTTCATTTCATGTGGGTGATGTTCATTCACAGAAGTACTAGTTGCTACACTATCTTTCCTGTGAAGCTGTAATTTCAAACTAACGAAGGCAGGGATAGAAGCATAAAAAAAAAAGACAAAAACATTGCTATTATTATCCATCAGTTTACATTTATTGAGAAAAACCATACAAAAAACATTATACAGTTAACGTGTACCCATATTACATACAATGTCAATGCAAGCTCAAAACCACATTTTTGTAAAGCATTCAATTTACCTCAAGTCCAAGCTGCATCTCCCTAAGACACTGTTCCCATCACAGTTGCCTTTTAAAGCCAATCTTCTTTTTACACACGGGTAGTTTCTGCAGAGAACACTTTTCTCAGGACGAAAAGGCATTTCACATGCACGCAAGAGAAATATTTGTGCATACATAAGATTTTTATAAGCTATTACTAGGAAGAGGGAATCCTGTCAACTGTATGCTTTCTGAAAAGCCCAATCCTCCCTTCCTCCCCCCACTTCCAGAAAAAAAGCAAAATAAAAAGCTTTTAGCATGCAATGGAAAACTTAAAATTACTTTGGAAGAGAACAGGGGAGAAAACAGTTTCTATCACCCAATAAAATATCACTAAGTAAAAAGATGAAATATTTCAAGACAGGCTGTGCAAGCGAACAATGATACTGTCTGCCTGGACAACTTAAACAGATGACTTATGATCATGCTAGATTGAAGATTATCCATGTGACATTTTATTTCATGTCATATTAAAGTATAGGCTGCAGAAAGTGATATGAAAACGCTTTTCCTACTTTGAACATTATGCTTCCTTTTTAAACTTTTCTTACTCTTCACATTCTACTTAATTTGTGGGACTCTAAGGGGGTGGAAAAAAAAAGCAGGAAACATTTAAAGACACCTTTTGGACAAGTTAATTACATTTCTAAGGAAGTCTGGTTATCTTTTTGGATCAGGATAACTTCAACAATCTATCTTCTGTTCTCCTAAGAACGATGCGTTTGGAGACAGAGTTGAAAGATAAACACTATGCTTAGCACAAAATACCATGCCCGTACGCCCAGCAGTGAGAAAGCTGGAAGTCAGTACACCTCAAATGCTACACACAAGAACATCTCATCTTCCACACACTAGCAACATTCCAATAAACTGGCTTATTTTTCTCTATCTCCTCCCACTGGCTAAATTTACAATTGAAAAACTGTTAAGATATTTTAGCAACAACAGTTGAAGAAAAAAAGGCAGTGAACAAATGACTCACCTCAACACTAAATTCACAGTATCAAAATCGAAATGGTACACACCTAACCTTTTCTCATGTCAAAAATGAAGTTACGTATTAAACTACAGATGAAATATTAAGTGGCTTGAGAAACTGAAGCACAACTATTAATTTAGTTCAAAAATTCAATATGTCTAAGCTTGGCTGTTTAGAAGAATATAAAATAAAATAGATGGTTTATATTATTAAATCACAGTTTAAAAAACTTAACAGATTATGGAACATTTATGGTCAAACAAATAATACTTTAAAGAATGAAAAGTGATCAAAACAAAAATTATACCCTACACCATTATGTATGGGATACATTTCAAATCTGTTATGTTTTTGCCAATTTTACCTTCTACATGGAGCCCTTCTATGGTCCATGCTCATCGGCTCACCAATGGCATACACTCAAAGGATTCCTCTTTACTGGTAGTAACTATCTCAGGACCTGATTCTATGAGCTATGATTTGGTGCTTGCAGCATCTTCAGCACTGTGTGTGAAAATGAAGGCAGTATTTTTGAATATTTTCCTTTGATGTACAGATAAGCAGGACTTTTGAAAGATGAGCAGCACATTTTAGAAACAGATTAATCAACAAAAAACCAAAACCAAATAGATGCTGCTTTACTTTAAGCTAAAAATGAAACAAAACCAAAACCAAACCAACCAACAAAACCCAGCAACAAAAACCTGTACCAGACCATCTATAAGACATACAAACATTTTAAACTATCAAAATATACAGCAATTCAGTTTAAGTATCAAGAAACAGGATACACTGACTGCTATATAAAATATTAATTGCTGTACTGTTAACATTTAATTGGTGCACATGCTTTTTCAGTTAAAACATACTAACCTCAAACTCCATAATCTGTTTTCCTACCATGTCAAGTATGAATAAGCAAACTAAGTTAGCTAAAAATTCCACTAACACACTATAACTGTAAGACAAGTTATCAAGTTCAGTGATAACAACAAGAAATCATATTCTTATATTTAGGTCTTACGAGTTTACTGTGGGAATAGTGCCCTATTACAAAAAACATTTGTGAAGGCTGTTGACGTTTCTAACCAAAGTAATTCCTACATATTTTAAAGGTTTGATTCTTTAATTGCAACAATTAGCTATCTGAGGAAAAATAACAAAAATTACTTATTCTGATCAAGTTTAATTACTGCAATCTACTAATCTTTTCTAAAAAAAATAATATAT